AGGGGGAGGGGAAGCCTCAGGAGCTGTTTCACATTCTGAGGCTTTAGGACAAAGACTGATTCCCCTGCAAAGTTGCCAGGGGGATATTTTAGGGTGCTGGTTTTGGTTTTATGTTACTTTACTGTCCCCAAGTTTCCTAAGAGAAGAATAACATTGCAAATTTGGAGGACAGACCACGGGAAGGATGGGCCTCCCCAAGGTGCTCAGAAGACATGTCGCTTTGGCACAGGAATATTTTGAGCTAAGGTCAATCAAGGCCCAATGGCGCAGGAGACTTTGCCCCTCCCTTCGCTACCAGACCAAGGGTCTAAGAAACCGTCACTGGGTCAGAACCTCTCTTACCGGTTGTGGGTCTGAACTCTCAGCTACAAATGTAAATGAAAGGGTCTTTCATGCAGCAAAAATGAAAAACAAAAGCAATTAATTGCACAAAATAGGTTAGAGGGGGAGGGAGAACTAGCAGCCCTGAGGTAGGGGGTCCTCAGGGTGGTGGGAGCAGGTTCAAAATCCTGATGTCTGACTGGGAGAGTGGCAGCTCTGGTAATAAAAAGAGGAAGGGAGGGGAAGAGAGAGAGAAGGCGAGAGAGGAGGGTGAGCGAGGGAGAGAGCTCAACCATGAGCCTCTGTCCCTTCTAAAGACTCACAAAACAGCAGCTCAGCTCCACTCCCTCCCCGCAGCCCCCACTCTGGACATCTGGGGTGGCTTCGGACCTGGCCCTCACAGGTCTCCCCCAGCTTGGGGCGAGGTGCATGTTGGTTGTCAGGGGGAGAGTTTGGTTCTTTGTCCACACCAGGCCATTCCAACATCTTAACTACCTAGAAGAATGAAAATTGGGGGTATTGCCCAGAATTAGGATTTTTATCAGAAATAACTTTTCTGTCAGAAAGTCTATCCATGTGGTCGGACAAAAATCCAATCACAGCAGCAGGTCTTCTCATCCTTGTCTTGTGAGTCCCCCTGGAAATCTCTCCGTGAAGCCACAGGCCTCTATCCCATTCCTTGGCTCCACCGGCCCTAGAAGAACCCCAGCGGTTGGGGGGAAATTTCTCTCCCCCCACCAACTGCCTCTACAAAATGTCTCCAATGAGAAAAGAGAGCTTCAGAGAGGCCACGGCCTCTACAGAGTCGTTCTGAATGGAATGATCTCGCGTTCACACTCGGAGCCTGCTCACTGGGACTTGTGTTTAGGTTTTTGGGAAGGGCACGGTGAGCAGGTCACTAGTAATCTGTTTACTACTGATGCCTGGGCCTCCTGACAATGTGCAAGAAGATGCCTATGCTGCTGGTGGGAGGGAGTTCTCCAGATCCCTTTGAAATGTCACTTGGCAGATCTCTAGAAGTTCCGCTCTGGGTCTGGGGCCAGGGCGACTCCCAGTGACCGGTTTCTGCTGAGGCGAGGAGAGAAGCGTGTTCTGGGCGGGGCTGAGTGTTGGCGTTTGGAGACCAGCAGTGCAGAAGACCCAGAGGACTCACAGGCCCCGAGAGTCTGGGGAGGATTTGAGGGGGTACTGGAGAGGGGATTGTGGAGCCAGCCAGGGGTCCGTGTTTATATTTAGTTGCTGTGGTTCATCTCTGCTTGGCTGACCCTTCCTTGCCTCAGTGATTTCCCATCTGCTGAAGACAAAGTTTCTGAGTTGGGGATGTCCTCGTCCCTGTGCTTCCACCCTGCCTGCGGCCCATCTCCCCTCGGTCTTGCGCAAGGAGAAGCTGGCTCCAGGGCTCTGGCGGGAGGTTGCTCAGTCATGGCCTGGGCCCACCCCTACTTGAGCCACAGGGCCAACCGCTGGCCTCTTGGCTCCTCTTCCCAGTCTACCCCCTGGCACTTGGGAAGATCAAAAGGCTCCCGTCTTTGCAGAACCCCGGTTAAGAAAACTCTGGAAGGAAGCCACACTCAGCTCACGGCCGTGGCCTCCTGCCTTCCTCCGCCTTGGGGTTCTGCCCCAAGTCAACTTCATAACCAAAAACCCCTCAGATTGGGGTGTGCGGACACAGTCTTGGCTTCTGCAAGTTCTCCAAGAACTGCTTGGCTGTTGACTTTTCAATTTTATGATATTTTCCAAAAACTCTTACCCAGCCGGCACGCAAGCCAGCACTCTTGCCTGTGTTCTTCGGGGTCCTATGTACATTTTTCCTCCTTTAAAAGACACTGAACTTTACACAAGCCTGAGAAATTCTACGCAGAGCCTCTAATGATAATAGCTGCCTTTTCCAGCCCTTTAATCAATGGCTAACCCTGCACAGTTGCTCATTTAGCTCCTTCAAAAGCGCCACGAAATAGTCATCACCACCCCCATGTCCTAAAAAAAGAGGGAGGCCGAGACCTCACAGGCCAGAAAGCCAAAATGCAAGCAGAGAAGAACCACAGAAGCTCAAGCGCAGACTCTTAATTGCCTTTGAGCGGCATCATTCTAGGTGGTGAGGGTGGAGGGTGGTTTTAAAATTGATCCCAATGTCCCTACTTAGTTCATTTGTAACCCAGGAGGAAATATAACACATGTACATTCATAACTAATAAAGGTCGGGCTGTGATAACTGCAAAGATCAAATGCAAGGAAGTGTTTAAGACTGATTCTAGCTTAATGAGTTGGGTTTGAAGTGGGGAAGGAAAAGATCATTTATTTTTAAGCTAAAATTTAATTGAGCTGCTACTCCGTGCAAGGAATTGTGTTGAGCGCTAAGGATGCTGAGAGGAAAAGATGCAACGGGGTCTTCAGAGGGCTCTGCTAGGGCAGACAGAAGAATGAACCGACACACTGTGAGGAACAGCTGGAAATTGCAGAGTAGACATACCCAGGATGGGAACTCAGCGAGGGTGGCTGTTCTCTCCACCTCCAGGTTGGCCTGGCAGGGCCTGAACAGCCAGAAGAGAGGAAGAGGGGAGTTCACAGAGGGAGCAGCTGCAACAAAAAATGCATGACAGGGAGTGACCCATGCAGGAAATGAGAATCCATGTTGGGGAGGGCAGGGGCCGGCTCCGGATAATGGCTGTAGAAAGGGGAGGCTCTAAGGTGAATCACAGAGTTCTGAAACCTCAACAAAGAAATTGACCTTTTCTGGCAACAGTGAAGACCTGGGAATGGTGGTCAGAGTGAGAGAGGTTAATAAATGTCCTGGACAGTTGACTCTGGCAGCCCTGGCAGGCGGGGTAGACGGGGTGAAGACGGGAGCCAGGGAGGCCAGGCAGGAGGGTATCATAGTAATGCAGGTAGAAAATGGAGATGTCTCCGTTAAATGCTTCCCATTGCACTCAGAGTAAAGAACAAGTCACCCCAAAGAACTCCCGGGTCCCCAGGACTGACCTGTTAGCTCTGTAACCTCAAGTCCCAACCTTTCCTGACTCGGCCACATCTCCTGCTAGCTGGTCCCAGGTGGTCATGTTGACCACAGTGCCTTTGCATTTTCTCTTTCTGGAATGGTCTTTCTGCAGACGTTTACATGGGTCGTTCCTTTGTCTCCTTTAAACCTTTGCTGAAATTCTCCTTTGCAGTGAACATTTCCTCCCCATTTTATTTAAAACAGTCCTCCCCAAACGCCACTCCCTGTCCCACTTCATGTTCTATTTTTTCCATCCACCACATTATATCTGTATGTATCTGTTTCTTTCCTGTCCAATTCCAGCAGAATGGAAGCTCCTTGAGGTGTGTCTGTTTTCCTTCCTGCTGTATCCTCAGTGCCTGGCACATTGTTGGTATAAGTAAATATTTGCTCAATGAATGAAATATTGAATTCATGGATGAAAGAAAAATTTCAAAAAGGCAAGGAGAGTAGCGGTGGAGTGAGAAACAGGGAGTGATGGTGGGAAGAACTTTAGGCGGGATGGCCAGCAGGACCTGGGCTTGTTAGTAGGGTGGGGGACATGGAAGAGTCAAAGGTGACTCTCTGGGGTCCGGCATCTGGTGAGTGCAGGACTAGGAAGTGATTTAAAGCTTTGTCTGGAGAACCCCTGGGGTGTGGATCCCTGGGGGTCTCCTGGAAGCACCTAGAGGTCCACAAAGGGAGGAAGGAAGAGCTCCAGCCACAGTAAATTTATGTTTTTCTGTTTTGATTTTGGTTTTCTAGTTTTGGTTTGGTTTAGTTTTTAAATCACTGAGATTAAAAATGTAACAGATACAGTTACTGATTCTCACTATGCTCTGGATATCAAACTAAGAGAACATCATTTAAGCTACATGAGCTCGGCTTTTTGTCATGA